CCCTTAATACTAAGGGCACTACACACACTATTATACTAAACACGTGCACATACACCACATCTAGTGATACTAAATTTCATAAATGGATGACAAAATGATTTCACAGAATCAAAGATAAGTGGTAAGGTACCCACTACAGACTATCTTAGTCTTTTAAGTGAAATCCTAAAGTCTCCTAAATAAATTTACATAAAAAACCTTACTTTTTAGTAAAACAATTATAAGGTGTGCCAAAACAAGATCCTGTAATATGATAAGAGGATTGTCAAAAATAATCTTGATTATTGGCAACCCAATAGAAGATAAGTTTAAACCCAATACCTAATGATAGATCACAATCCTAGGAATAATCTGTATATCCCCTATTATGTTGCATCTCCTAATGCAATAAGTTTGCTAGGTATTCATATGCCTATTCATGAGAGTAGCTCCTCTATCTACTGGAACTGATCTTCCCCGATAGCCTAATGTAACATTGTTGCTAGTTGTTATAACTGTAATAATCCTTTCTCGTTACAGTGTATTCAAAAGTGTCGAGAGTTTCCCATACTCTATATATTTAGCTGTCAAACCCCATCTAAGATCAACAGAGTACACCAACCATAAATACACCTTAGTATACAGAGTGGTTACTTTTCTAATAATGTATATCGTGGGGAAGGGGGAGGACACAGTAATATACCTAGTTACCCTAATTAAACCTCTAGGGCAATGTGTACTATAGAATTGCTGTCTTTCCTATCCCAGCAGTACCCCAAATCCCAGTTCCTCCCACGTCTAAAATCTAACGCGACGAGACTATTATCTCGAAAGGTAGATTCTTTCTCTAATTCCAGGAGATAACATTTGCTAAATCTGATAATAATTGGAACTACTTGGCATAAGGTGATTATCTTGAGTTTAGTTCATCTATGTTTTGCGCCACCCTACAATTCCCTGATGCGCGTTTCGCCTATCAGCTCATCAGAGGGAAACCGGGAGCCTTTGCCTCCCGGTCTTTTAAGGGGGATACCCTATTGCTATTGGTGACTGTTATTTTTGAATAAACCAATAAGGGAAAAGATACTCTTCTTATGCAGATCGGAGTGATTACGTAATTAAGAACGGGTTTATTTAACGCTTCGTACTCCGATCACTAAACGGAGCAGTAAGTTCTTAAAATTTAGAACAATGAATAAGTAAATTAACATCAGAGGAAAAAGATCTGTTATTATAATATTAGAGATTGGTAAAAACAAATAAAGAAGATTATAAGTTATATTGTTTGCTGTAATAATCTCCAGTTTCAGAGTTTGTAAATCAACGCTTTGACATTCCTGGGACCGCTATAAGTTAGTAAGAGCCATAACTTTTAACTAGTTTACCATCTTACTTAGTGCCGTATTAAAGTTGTAAACTCGATACATTCTATCTTATTGTTCCTTGGGTCACTGCCCATTTACTGGTATAGGTTTCTAAATAATACCCCATTGAGCTGATTGATCATCGTTCGTGCCCAACATTTTTGTTGTGCCTACGTTGTTCTCACCCATTTATAGTGTAATTTTCTATATCAATTCTAATCTACTGACTTAAGTGTTAACAATCTAGAGGTGATAATGCAATAGGCAACATATAAATTTCTAATACTTGCCTCATGCTTTGCCGTTGGAAGCAGGCAATAATGTTCTGTATCGAAATTACCATCCCTGATTATAACGATGGATATAGATGGCATAATATCAGACTATTTATGTTGTTGTATCAGTTATGCTTGGACCGTCCAAGTTAGATTGATGAATCCTAGTGTCCCATACTCTTTATTATTCCAGGAGCTTCTTGTTTAAAAGCTAATGATTTATTCTATTAAAGACTTTTGGTATGAACAAAAATAAATTGTTTAGGTAAAAACAGAGACTGGTTAATGATTTTCATATCCAACAACATGGGCATACGTAACCATATATATGTGTACACCTGCTCCTATACACATATATAATATACACACAGTTGAGTAATTGGAATCCATTATTCAAAGGGGCATATTTTTCTATCAGGTTGGAAGTGCTTAAAGAATTGATTTTAAATTAGAGCTTAACTTCTGCAAATAGTAAGGATTTATCCAGATCCCTATCCATGAATGAAGGGGGTAAAATTAAACTCTTCATTAAGACCCCTAGGGGTCAGTGTTCTAAAGGTATGAATCCACCTTGACTCTTGTTTTAATAATTTAAGATTAAAATTCCCCTTTCTGGAGTTGAGGGATATTTGTTCAATAGCCTGAAACTTGAGATTTGAAACATCGCTGTTGTGCTGTTTTCTAATATGATTAGCTACAGGAGTAGATATACTGATGTTCATAACTGAATTCACGTGTTGCAGTATGAGTCTTCTAAACTGTTGATACGTTTTTCCCACGTATTGTATACCGCAGCTACACGTGATTACATAAACTACCTTTGTGGTGGAGCAATTGACAAATTGTTTGATGACAAAACGTTGTTGTGTTTGAGTACATTCTACAGTCTAAGAAGGATATATATATTCACAGGCCTTACAATGTCCGCATTTATAAGTGCCTTTGGTCATGGTTAACCATGATTTTGTCAGTAGTTCTGGTTCCAGATGACTATGTACCAGAATATCGTTCAGATTTTTTGGTCTACGTGCTGTGATGCTGGGCCATTGCATAAGATGTTTCGCCAAATCCTTATCATGTGTTAGGATTGGCCAATGGTCCATATAAATTCTTCTTATTGGATCCCATAGTTCGTCAAAAGTCCCAATACAGGGTATAGGTTGTTTCACCATTTGTGGTTTTGTGGTACGTAAAGCGGTAGTTCTTTCTATTGCTGATGCCTGTTGGTATGCTCTTTTTAGAACTCGGTTCAGGTAACCTTGGGATTTGAACCTTGTTCTTAGTTCTTTTGCCTCTCTGTAAAATGTCTCATCATCCGAGCAATTTCGCCTTGCTCTTAAATACTGACCATATGGTATTCCTGCTTTTTGGTTAAATGGATGGTGACTCTCCCAATGAAGTAAACTATTGGTAGAAGTTTTCTTACGGAATAATTCAGTATGTACTTTACCATCCAAAGTCAAGATAATCCTTAGGTCCAAAAATTCAATTTGTTCAGCATCAATGACATATGTTAGTTTGAGTCCTATAGGATTGTCATTGAGGATATTTACAAAGTCCTTAAAGGCATCAACAGTGTCTAAACAAAATAACAGAACATCATCAATATATCTACTCCAATGTATAGATTGTCCAAATTTTGTCGCTATTGTTTCACTTAAAACTATCTCCTCCCACCAACCTAGGTAGAGATGGGCATAACTTGGTGCACAAGCTGTGCCCATAGCGGTGCCTTTAGTTTGCAGGTAGTAGGTCCCATTGAAAATAAAATAATTATGCGTTAGAATGAAATCCAACAATTTCACTATGAAGTCTCTTTGAGACAATGAAAAATCAGATTTTTCCAAAAAATAAGTTGTGGCCTTTAAACCCATTGTGTGTGGAATATTGTTATATAGGGACACCACGTCTAAGCTGGCTAGCATGGAATAAGGTGGTACCTCAAGATTCTCTAACCTAAGTAGAGTCTGTTTAGTATCTTTGATATATGATGCCAGCTTCAAGACAAACGGATGGAGTGGTTTCTCAATATATTTGCTGGCATTTTCTGTAAGAGACTCATTCCCGGAGACAATGGGTCTGCCTGGGGGTTGCTGTTGATCCTTGTGCACTTTCGGAAGACAGTAAAAGGTGGCAATTGTAGGATTGGAATTTGGGATGATGTATCTAAATTCGTCTCTAGAAATGATCTCATTTTCCAGTGTCTGGTTTAAAAGTTTTTTCAAATCCTCTGTGTAGATTAAAGTCGGGTCATTATTTAATTTTCTATAACATAAAGGATCATTAAGATGGTCCATACACATTGAAATATACATCTTCTGATCCATAAGTATAATACTGCCACCTTTATCTGAAGGTTTAATGATTACATTTTTATTCATGCTCAATTCTCGTAGTGCACGTTGTTCACTTAAAGATAAATTGTGTTTGTTTGTTGGCAGGGTTGTTAGTTTTTCAATTTTATCTGTTGTCATTTGAACAAAGAGATCTACATTCGTGACCTCTTTTAAATTGGGTGTATACCAAGATGAAGGTTTAACATCTGTCAGAGGTTGAATAATATCCTGTTTATCCAATAACCGTACCAACGTTTGTAAGTGATCATGATCTTCTGTAGCAATACCTATTTCTTTACATAACTTATTATCTCTCCGGTTATGTAAAGAACATAATGCCAGTTTTCTACCGAACAAATTGGTGTCTTTTGTCCAACTAAATACATCTGCCCCAGGTGTGGGGACAAATGAAAGGCCTTTATTTAAAAGTGAAATGTGATGTTTGGATAAAGTATACGTTGAGAGATGTTCTCATCATTCTTGGGGATTTCAATTATTATTGCCTCTTGTTGATTCTCTAGGGCTTGTATCCCCATTTCCCCCTGTCTCTAAGACGTCCCCTCTGTGGGGTGGGCCATTCCTGGTCTAAAAAAGTTTGTGATGTATTAATCGGAGGTGTGGGAATTGGGGTCTGGGTTTGTAAAAATGTGACAGTTTTATCCTGATTACTCAAAATCCCTCTTGGATTTTGTCTTGGTCTAGATGTCGAACGGGAATCTTTCCTGTTATATATAGGATTAGAATCAGAGTCACAGCCGTCAGTATTTCGGCTCCTTGAGTTCGATCTAGTATAAAACCGTCTTTTAGGTTGTTTTTTTTTTTATACGAAAAATGTTCCCTTCTTTAAAGTCATTATAATCTTTTACAAACTTTTGATGCTTTTTCTCTTTAATAAAAGTTGTGAAAGATTCCAAATTGTTCTGCAATTTCGTCTCCATTAATGAATATTCTGGATTGTTGTGAAAATTCTTAACTTTGTTTATTTCCTCTTGTAAATTTTTATTAGTTACATCTAATTCCTCTTGTTCTAATTCTATTAGAAATTGCATTAATTTCATAAATGGATGACAAAATGATTTCACTGATAGTCTGTAGTGGGTACCTTACCACTTATCTTTGATTCAGTGAAATCATTTTGTCATCCATTTATGAAATTTAGTATCACTAGATGTGGTGTATGTGCACGTGTTTAGTATAATAGTGTGTGTAGTGCCCTTAGTATTAAGGGACTTTTTAATTTTAATATTAAAAGTGACATTTTAAATTGACAGTTTTATTTGATATCTTAGTGTTCCTCTGGTGTCAATACGAATTAATACGGGAATCTCCAACCTCTCCTTTTCTTTTTCTGTTAATCAATTAGGGGTTAACCCCCCATGGAGGTTCCAGTAATCTAAGGCTCTTTTCTTTCTTCTTTCATTCTTTTAAATTAATATGAGCTAAAACCAGCTTGAGTTCTGTGCGGGGACCCACAGAAGGGCAGACTATTTCAGTTGCTGTCCGTTCTCAAAATACTCTTGCGACCTGTTTTTTGCTCATCTGAAAATACAACTTCTAATTATTTCTCCCAGCCCAGACTTTCTGTGGTTGTCCATTCACAGACTTCCCAATGCAGCTCATTGAGAAGTCTTTGCAAGGCAGGTGCTCAGCAATTGCTGCCTCTTGAGTTCAGCTGCACTGAGCTAATGAAACCAGGAAGTGATGTGTTACCAGGTTAATTTTTAAAAGTGTCCATTTCTATTGAAATCTGCACTTTTTGCAAAATAAAAAATGTAATTTGTATATTTGAAGCAGATGTTGTTAATTCAATATGACTTTACAAGTGACAATCAAAACTGATAACTACTTGAAGTTGACCTTGTCATCATTATGGTCTATTGGTGTCACAATCAGTGCTGAATTTATTGTGAGGATAACAAGGCATTTTCCTTGGGCAGCACTTTCAGGGGGGCGGCAAAAGGGCTGCCCTCCTCCTCCCCCCTGAAATTCCCCGGAAAATGCCTTGTCCGTCTCTTGTCCTGGGGGCCTCAAAAAGCAGCCAGTGGGCCAACTTGGGTGTCCCTGAGGCTGACATATGTTCTGTTTGTGGGCAGGCTGTGAGGAGCACTCTCCTCTGAGCTCTCACAGTGATGCCAGAGCTGAAATATGACGTCACTCCGGCCCCGGTATCACTAAATGGCACACAAGGGAGCAGAACAGGAAGATGAGAGGCCCCTCAAAGCCTCCATTGACCACCTGCACACCAAGCTGTACAGCACCACTGGAACATGCCCAACAGCCCCACTGGACCCCAGGGAAATCGAGAATCCACGCCAGCACACCCAAAAGGTAGGGTGTCTGGGTGGATTGAAATTTAAAAAAATTATAAATTGTTAGTATCAGTGTATCAGAAGACCTACTGTAGGTTAAATTGCCTAATTGACAAAGTTTTAAGGGGTTATCTGGCCTCCAAAATAACCAAATCTCAATAAGAATTTTTGAGATGTGCGGGAACAAGAAATCCAATCCATGGAGGCCCCACCTTGCGACTTGCAGGACTTAAAGGATCTGTTGCTAATATTTTGGTGCCAGATACCACAAGACATGTTCAGATTGAAGGGGCTCTACACAATATTATACAGGTGGTTGTGGCTGATCAGTTTAAGTATTATGTAGAGCAAACAAATGAAAGTATTAGACATTATATAAGACATGAAACTTGTAAAGATTAACAGAGGAAAAATTAAGCCATCATTATCAGATGATCCAGATTGTTTTCAAACAGATTGGTATTTTTTGTATTACATGGCAGACAAAACAAAATTGTTTTACAAAAGTAGAGGAGACTAGAAGACCCCAAAAGGGAAATGTCAGGCAACCCAGAAACCCCTACCACAACAGTATATAGAGGGAATATCTACTGGGAATTTTAATGGCAAATTGTGTGCGGTGCCATATACTAATGTTAGGGTAATATTTTTTAGAAATCTGAATGAATTGATATATAAATATGTTTGAAAATGTACTCAATGTGAATAAATTTGTAATCTATTATATTGAAATTCATGTGTTATGTTTTTCTTTTTAATATTTTTATCTGAAATGTCAGTAGACACATTTTATCATTTTCACAGCAGATGTCCAATAGTTCATTTTTATGTTAGTACTGACACATTTCAGAAATATTTCCTGCACAGAAATGATGCTTACGCTCATTTGCTCTGTATGAACTCAATGAAACAAAGAACGATATACTTCCAAGTAATTTCTATCATATATTTGGTTCAACTGTCTAAGGTGTGTATTCAGTATTAATACATTTACTTTATTAAGTGTTCTTGCATAGCAAGACCACTTAATGTTATCTCACATATATATTATTATTATTCTTATTATAGCCAAATTTGCCACCCTAACTCCTCCCACAGTTTTTACACTACATAGACAAAAATTTACCAAAACGCGCAGATTGTTCCCGATCGGATTGCTATTACTTTGTGGAACGTTTCGCCGAATGGTTCACGGAATATCGTCGTTCTTGTGGCGAAATTTGTCCCATAGGAATGAATGGCAAAGCTAGAGTGTTAGCTGGCAAAAGCTGAAAAATCAGGACATGATTTCTAAACTGCCACAACTCCCTCATTTTCAGGCCCACCTACACAAATCTTATATCAAAACGTTCAGCTATCCCTCCTGCCACTAAACATGTCAACGGCTAAGCCATCAGAATGTAGGTCTGGGTCTTGTGATTCTCACAATATAAAGCTCTTCGCTGTAGGATTGATAGTTTTTAAAATACAACCCTTTAAAGATGGCAACCGCCAAAATACTCTGACCTATGCCAGGCTGCAGCAGCAAGTGATGTCATAGACAGGGCCTTTTGAACACCTGCTAATGTTTTTATAAATGTATGGTTTAATGTAACTGTGCAACAACGTTGCAATTAAATGTGCTATATAAATGATAAGTTACTCCGCCCACTCCAGTTGTAGACTACTGGTGGAGGCAAGAACACTTCACACAATTTCCCCAGAAATTGTAGCTTTTCTTGTTAAAATTATACTTTTTTAGCATTTTGTTTATTAATTTTATTTTTACAGTTTAGTGACTATTATGTTTTTTTAACATTTTTCTTTTTCTATTACAATACCTCTTTTAAAGAACCACTATAGTGTCAGGAAAACACTAGTTTTCCTGGCACTATAGTGCCCTGAGGGTGCCCCCACCCTCAGGGTCCCCCTCCCGCCCGGCTCTGGAAGGGGGAAAGGGGGAAAAACTTACCTTTTTCCAGCGCTGGGCGGGGAGCTCTCCTCCTCCGATCCTCCTCTTCTCTTCCCATGCGGCTGAATGCGCATGCGCGGCAAGAGCTGCACGTGCATTCAGCCAGTCACATAGGAAAGCATTATCAATGCTTTCCTATGGACGCACAGTGAGAAGTACGCAAGCGCCTCTAACGGCTGTCAATGAGACCGCTACTAGAGGAACTGGGGGAAGGTTTAACCCATTCATAAACATAGCAGTTTCTCTGAAACTGCTATGTTTATAAAAGAATGAGTTAAACCTAGCTGGACCTAGCACCCAGACCACTTCATTAAGCTGAAGTGGTATGGGTGCCTAGAGTGGTCCTTTAATGTGTGAATTGGTACAATTTTGAGTGTAACTGATGTGATGCGGTACATTTTCATGTAGTTTGTCACATACAATAAACCTAACTAGATCTGAAGTGATTTGAGTTTATTATTCATATTGCATTTATGTTATTGAGTGAAATGGTTTAAAATAAGATTTAAAATGTTGTGTATGTGCAAGGGCGGGCTGGGCCGGGGGGCAGGTAGGCAATTGCCCCCCAGGCCGCCCTAAATTCCTGTAAGGCCGGCCGCGGCGGGCCGGCCCTTTAAATACTGCAGCCGCCTGAGCGCTCTGTTAAGAGCCTCAGGCGGCTGCAGCTTCTCCCCTCCCCTCCCCTGTAGCGTGGCCGAGCTGCACTCCGGTCCGCGGTGGCCGGCCAGCCGGCCGGAGTGATAGGAGGGTGCACACTGAGTGTGCATTTCCTGTCAGTCCGGCCGGTTACAGGAAACAGAAACTCCTGTTCCGCGCGGAGTTTCTGTTTCCTGTTACCGACCGGACTGACAGGAAGTGCACACTGAGTGTGCACCTTCCTATCACTCCGGCCGGCCACCGCGGACCGGAGTGCAGCTCGGCCACGCTACAGGGGAGGGGGTAAGAAGAGAGGGGGAAGGGGGGGGAGGGGGTAAGAAGAGGGGAGGGAGGGGAATAAGAAGAGGGGAGGGAGGGGAATAAGAAGAGGGGAGGGAGGGAATAAGAAGGGGGGATAAGAAGAGGGGGGGAATAAAAAGAGGGAAGGGGGGAATAAAAAGAGGGGAATAAGAAGAGGGAAGGGGGGGAATAAAAAGAGGGAAGGGGGGAATAAAAAGAGGGGAGGAGGGGAATAAAAAGAGGGGAGGGGGTAAGAAGAAGAAGGGGTTAGTAAGAAAAAGATGGAGTAAGAAGAGGAGGGAGTAAGAAAAAGAGGGGGAATAAGAAAAGGGGGAGGGGAAGAAGAGGGGAGGGGAATAAGAAGAGGGGAGGGCGGAGTAAGAGGAGAGGGGAATAAGAAAAAGGAGGGCGGAGGTAAGAAGGAGGGGAGATAAGAAAAAGAGGGGGGTAAGAAGAAGAAGAAGGGGTGAGTAAGAAAAAGAGTGGGGAGTAAGAAGAAGAAGAGTGGGGAGTAAGAAGAAGAAGAGGGGGTAAGAAGAAGGGTGAGTATGAAGAAATGGGGGGAGTAAGAAGAAGAAGGGGGAGGAAGAGGAAGAAGAATAAGGGGGGTAAGAAGAAGAAGGGGAGCAATAAGAAGAAGGGGGCTTAAGAAGAACAGGTGGGGGAGTAAGACGACCAAGGGGGGAAGTATGAAGAACACAGGGAGGAGGGGGGTAAGACGAACACAGCGGGTGTGAGGAGAACACATAGAGGGAGGAGTGAGAAGAGCACAGGGAGGGTGGGTGAGTGTGAGAAGAGACCGCTAGGGGAGGGTGGGGGAGAGGAGAGACCACTAAGGTGCAGGGGAGAGCTCTACGGGACAGAAGGGGCAGCTCTATAGGACAGGGGCCAAGACAGGGAGCTCTTTCACACTACGCGCGCGCACACACACACAATGCATCCCATACACAGAAACACAACATGCTTC